AGAAGGGCCTTGAACCAAGGATACTGTATCAAGCACGATTATCATTTAAATATGAAGGAGGGATTAAACACTTCCCAGACAAGCAAAAGTTGAGGGAATTTGCCTCCCACAAACCACCTCTAGAGGGAATTTTAGAGGGACTGCTCTAGATGGGAGCACTCCTAAAAAGAGCACAAAACAAAACACCTAACATATGAAGAATGGAGGAGGAGGAATAAGAAGGGAGAGAAATAATCATCAGACTGTATTTATAATAGCTCAATAAGTGAGTCAAGTTAGACAGTAAGGTGGTAAAGAAGCTAACCTTGAACCTTTGGTAACCACGAATCTAAAGCCTGAAATGGCAATAAGTACATATCTTTCAATAATCACCCTAAATGTAAATGGACTGAATGCACCAATCAAAAGACACAGTAATAGAATGGATAAAAGAGCAAGACCCATCTATATGCTGCTTACAAGAGACTCACTTCAAACCCAAAGACATGCACAGATTAAAAGTCAAGGGATAGAGAAAGATATTTCATGCAAACAATAGGGTGAAAAAAGCAGGTGTTGCAATACTAGTATCAGAAAAAATAGACTTCAAAACAAAGAAAGTAACAAGAGATAAAGGACATTACATAATGATAAAGGGCTCAGTCCAACGAGAGGATATAACCATTGTAAACATATATGCACCCAATAACAGGAGCACCAATATATGTGAAACAAATACTAGCAGAATTAAAGGAAGAAATAAAATGCAATGTATTAATTTTGGGGGACTTTAACACACCACTCCCTCCAAAGGACAGATCCACCAGACAGAAAATAAGTAAGGACACAGAAGCACTGAACAACACACTAGAACAGACGGACCTAATAGGCATCTATAGAACTCTACATCCAAAAGCAACAGGATACACATTCTTCTCAAGTGCACATGGAACATTCTCCAGAATAGACCACATACTAGACCACAAAAAGAACCTCATTAAATTCCAAAAGATTGAAATTCTACCAACCAACTTT